GCTGCAACTGAAATCTTCTTAGTTCGATACTCATCTCTTAGCTCTCGTAGGATAGAGGCCTGCTTCTCTTCAAGTGTCTGAAATCTCTCGTTCTTTTCCTTATTTGTCATAGGTGTTTTCTCTGTCGATATAGACCTCCGGATAGGCTGCGCCGCTTCTTGGGCTTCAGCGATGTCCTCAACGTGGACCCTCTTCCTTGCGTTGGCGTTGACAGCCACAGTGGTCGTAGTGATCGTCTGGAGTTCTCCGGCGCGATCAGAAGGCGTGGTTTCCTCATTGACTAAAATGACATTGGTGGAGGCTCCTGTCGGTGGGTTCTGGCTGTCCAGGATGTCCCGGTTTCCCTTTGTGACGTCCGTGGGCAATCGATCAAACCCTGCTGGGGACTTATACGCCGGTCGGTAGAGGTTCATGGCCTCAGGGTTCTTCCTGATCCAATCGTCGATCACAATATTCTCTTGTTGGGTCAGTTGGAAGTTGATTCCCGCGCGGTTGCATTGTTCCATCCTCCTGACCAAGGGAAACATATCCGATTTTGGGAAGCGGCTTAGCCAGTTGTGAACTAACTTGCGGATCCCAAACCTCCTAAAGGCGTAGACCAGGTTCGGCGGCAACATCTTGTCAGACCTTCCTAGGAGAGCCGCGCCACCTTGTGGGTCATAACTTGCGATCCCGTTGTTCTTATCGTAGGTAAGGTCTGCGCAGTTGCTTGGGAAGTGGTTTTTTCCGCTGCAATACCAGCATGCCATGTCGTTCTGGTAGCTGCCTCGCCCAGATCCGTACGCTGCAGTCGTGTAGAAGTTCTGGCTGTCGTGCATCTGATCAAGTGATACCGCGTTTGTCCTGAAAGCCTGGGGCGCTCCCGAGGCTGCCTGCCTATTGTGTTCTCTCTCGAGGATCTGAGCTAGTTGCAGTTGGGATTCTTGCCCCTTTGCCACATTGATTGCAAGTTGGCCAAGCTGCGCAGTCAACTGGTCGATCTTCGAGGTTGCTGCTTCGTCGGATTCCTTCTTGAGGATCTTTGGGGTCTTGGTTGTCTTCACGGAAGGGCTCGGGCTCCTAGGAGGAGTCGGGGCCCAGGTGACCCGGTGGGTATCCTCTTCGCTCCGGGGGCGATGAGTCTTCCGAATCTCGATCTTATTTTCGCAGTATCGTTTGATCATTTGGGTGAGCGCATGGTACTCCATAGCCGTGAGCTCGCGGACGTTCTTGTCGTGTCTTTCGCAAATGCCCTCAATGATCTCCTCAGGGAGTGCTTTGTAAACCGCTCTGGATTGGCTCTTGGATGTCTTCCAGTTGCCGTCGATCTGCCGGAAGAGGTATTGGTGCTCGTTCAGCCATTTGATGATAGCATGGAAGTCTGCCTTCAGACGGGTTTCGTTGAGTATTTCCAGTTTCTCCTCAATAGTCTCTGATTGATCAGAATCTTCATTCGCGAAGGCTTCCTTCAGGCTCTCTTGGGCAGCTTCCCAGTCAAGTCCATCCATGGCTTGTCGGGCCTCCCTCTTGATCTCCTGATCAGTGTATGACTCAAAGAGAGCCACTTTCTTATCCTCAGAGACATTCGTGAGTTCCGCCTGCTGGTTGAAGTTTCGGAGGTACTCAGTCACATCCTTTCCCTTAAAGAGGGGGAGGGGGTTAAGAGGGACAGCAAAAGAGGGACCATTTGATCCCTTGGTTAGGATCTCAAGAAGGAGTTTGTTGACCTCGTCATTGCCTTCGGCGGCCTTGTTGCCTCCTGTCTCTGGGTTCTGGCCTTGGATGTTGCTAGACCTCTTTCCGAGGTCAGCGCTTTTGTCGTTCTGGGCCATCTTTGCAGTTGGGGTGACAGTGGTCGTGGTAGTAGGTGTTTGATCAGTTGATTCCTGGTAAGGCTGGTTTCTTGCTTTGAGATTCTCGGTCGTCATGGTGCAGAATAGGTTGGCCACAGAGGCTTCCTCAAATGTCGTGAGGATGAGGATAAGGGCAGTAAGAGCCTCGCTCTTCGTGACCATCCAAATGAGAATTCCTATCACCAAGACCTTCCATTGCCGCTTGGTTAGGAGTCCTCCAGGCATCTCAAGTGAGGCTGAACCACTGGTCTTGTTGGGAAATACGGTTTTCCGTTTTAACCATGCGCCACTGCTGTCGTTCCTCTCCTCATCCGTAGTGGGCGGATACCTCCGTCTCCCTGTATTCGCCTTTTGTGGGGTATTCCAGGGGTCCATCTTGGCCTCGACTCTTCAAGGGAATTTGATCAAATGATGTCTCGAAATCCGGGGTCAAGGGAGAGCAAGGTACATTCGTAATCGGTCTCCCTTCTTGACTGAACGACTTCTCGGGGTCTCTCTGATTCCCACCCTTTTCTTGCTCGTGATGGTTTTTGGCGTTTCGTTCTCTTCTGGCCTGATGGTGGTGGTTGTGTTTATAGTTCATCGATTGGCAGCATAGAAGTGCACTCTCTTGTCTGATCAATTGAATCGCCTTCGAGTGACGTATCCTAGTGATTGCAGAAGCAAGAGTATCGAAAGATCCTGTGTGGGGGCACCAGATTTGTTGGAGAAACAGAACACACCAACCACAGCCAAAACTTCTTGTATGACTTTCTTCTGATGACTTTCGAAAAAGAGATTTCACGTACTTTCTCGTGAATTGAATACCATATGAAATAATAAGGGCAAATGATCAATTGATAGTGATGAAGATCTTCTCAAGAAAAGAGCCCTTAAGCTCCCCGTTCTTGATCCGATCCTTGAAGAAGATGATGGTGATGATGGTCAGGGCCGCGGCCTTGGCCCTTTTCTACGTACAGGAAATTGCCCAATGGCCCAAAACGGCCTAGCACGCCTCTCCCCCAACTCAATGCCTTCTCAATGGCCTCGAATGCAGAAGGCTTACGCTACGTGCTTAACGGTAGCAGTATCGAATTAGCTACTAGGCGATCAAATAGCTTGCGAGGCTCGATAATAAGCTGGGGGGTTCCTAAGCGTTGGAGGTGCTAATATAAATGGAAATAGTATAATTAAAGGGGCAGACCTTGCGCTAGTAAAGGCTAAAGGTTATGAGCGTAAGGTAGACTGAGAGTCTTCGCGAAGACCCCTGTATACGCGGGAAGCTCCTTCAATAGCCGTGCCCATTAGCTATCAACCTTCCGCAGGGCTTCGTGTGAGATCCAGCCGCGGATATTGCCATATAACACCCTAGATATATCGAGAGGTATGGTAATCTGCTGCTTAGCCTGGTTGGCCTTAAGCTCGGAAAGCTAATTTAATAGAATAAGCTTAATAATCCTCCAGGCCTCAAAGAGATTAACTTAAGAGTATTTTAAATAACTCTTAATAAGCTAATAAATGCCCTTGGCCCGAGAGGTAATAAATTGCTCGAAGTGAAGATATTGGTGAACCTAAGCCTTAACGAATCTCTGCTTATAGGGATCTAGCTAGGTCTCTATGATATAGCCTACCTCTTTAATATGTATAGGAAGGTAATACTTCTTCTACTTCTCGAGTCTCTCGTTATATATATCTTCGGTTAGCGAGGCAACGATCTCATGCCATAGGTCATAGAATTGCTTCTACTCTTCTTGCCCCTTAGGGTTGCCCTTATCTCGAGTAAATACAGGCATACAATATATCAGGACGGCCTTATTAATATGCCATAGGCATAAGAGTAAGGCTAACTTAGGGAAGCAAGAAGAAGAGGAAATAGCATTTATACAAGCAAGGCAGCGATCTATGAGTATCACAGAAGGAATAGCTACCCTGTGAAGCTTATATATATGCCTTAACTATTCAAGAGCCCAGATAAAGTCATTCTCTTCCTCGCCGCTAAGGAAGGCAAATACAACACAGAAGGATCATTAATAAGCATCAATACTAACTATATCGAGAAGGGGCATCTTATACTTATTAGTCTTATATATACAATCTAATAGAAGCACTTCGGGATATAATTTAAGGTATTCTAGTAACTGCGGATATGCAAATAATACTATTATAACCCTGCTACCCTTATCGAGGCGAATCTCGCTCTAGAAGCCCTCGCTATTAAGCTAATTAGCAAGGGCATATATGTTACTCTGACCCTTGGTAAGATCTCGCTTGCCCTATGCAATATAGTTATAGATATCTTACTATGTGGTAAGTATATCTAAAGTCGTACATAAATAGGATCTAATCTCCTTAGGCGTAATACCGGCGTTAGCGAGTTAGTGGACTATTGATTTATCTGAGCGTAATAATTGACGATATACTAGATATGCCACTTAGTGGAAACTTAGTTCGTAATTATATTAATCAAAGCCAAGGCTAGGACGATGCCTTAGACTCTATTGAGTCCCGCATAGGCTCTCCTTTGCTATCATAGAGAAGAGGTATCCCATATAACATAATGCGGTCTTACGTATCTATTTCTTAGGGAATATAGAAGGGGCATGCCCTCCTCCGCGGTCATATATAAAGGTAACCCTAACTCTCCTATTAGTAGTCTTATAAGACCTTTAGGAGATAAAGGCATAGCCTCGTGGCGTTACCTAGGCGTTAATTGCTATTACCAGTTCCTCTCGTGAGCTAAATTCGCCTTCAGGAGGAAAAATATCCCTAGGGAAGCCATAAGAGTCGCCAATTAGATCCATTATAGCAGAAGCAAGGCGCGGCAACGAGAATTAATACCGTAGAAGCTATTAATCGCTAAATAAGGGGCTAATCTGCGATGTGTGGCCCCTTTGCAATCAGGCCATATATGCCTCTTATATAACCGATCTTATTTGTACGCCTCGAGCGTACAGTATATCACGTGACCTTATTTGTACGCTCGAGCGTACATGTATGAGGGGCCGTGTGCTTGTCTTTGCTTAGATAAGCCCTCCATTTCGTACACTACAGATAAACGACCGTCTCATGATATACGCTCGCCTACTCCCGAAACGTCCTCCATGCCAGATAATCCTCCGTGCCCCCAATTCAGGGGTGACAGTATACACGCTTGCTTCCACCAGGCGAATCATTCAAATCGTGACCCTTTCACTGTGCAACTGGAATATGAACGCCATGGAATCCCATCCCGATGGCAAAGTCTGCCTCGGCTCTCCCCAGCTCCTCCATCGTCTTACCATCCAAGCACAAGAGATAGGTGGTCTCTGTAACGCCATCAACAACCACGCTTAGAACTACGCCATCATCCTCATCCTCTGCCCCAGGCCGTGGAACAAAAACAGGTTCTCCTGGTGTATGCCCTTCTGGTCCACTCCAGATCAGCGCCTCCCTTGTAGTCACATCCGTCTTGACCAGCGCATCAACAATGGTGCCGAGGCCACGCAGAGTCGCACCGTAGACAAAGCGATAAGGCTTCCCCAAACGGAGAGGATGGATGGTTGAGAGCTCGCCGGCGTGGGGCGTTGGGATGCAGAGGTCCTCCTTCGCCGTGGCCGAAAATGTCATGTCCGCCCCCCCTGTAGGCATTCTGAAGCGGTATCTGGTAAAGATAGGGAACGAATTCTCGTATCGCTTGCCCTCAAACCAGTACTTCTTTGTGGCGTCGTTGCGGTCGAGGATTACATCGTAGTAGAATCCCTTGATGATGTCCATGTTTTGATACTTGGACAGGTCAAAGCAGAGCTCAGTGTGCTCCTTGCCATTTTCATCTTTGACATGTTCTTCGAAAGCGTTGACTGAGTGGAAGAAGAAGGCAGCAGGCGTCGAAAAAGTAGCCACAAGCCCCTTTCCATGCCGTCGATCAACAATGAGCCACTTGCATTTCTTGCCCTCGTCAAATGGGAGAATAGAATCGAGGATGTTGCTCTTCCACAACATCTTCAGTCCACTCCACGCATAGTGCGATGATGGGATACAAATGACGACATAGTTCTCCGTGAGAAAGAAGCTGTGCAGATACGCAGGCGGGACGTTCGGGTCCGTCACCGTAGCGAGGATCTCCGTCTTACCCGAGGCTGCATCGACTCGGAAGATGCGGTAGGTCGGGTATCGACCAAAGTCGAGGTTGTAGTTGAAGAAGTCTCCGGTTATAGGATCGCGCTGGGCGTGGGCGCATGAACAGGGTCCGCTGAGGAGAGGGTCGAGGGCGCTCTGCATAGCGAGGCCGAGGGGCTCGAGGGTGGTGGGATCGATGCGACGGATGCCGGCAAAGTCGGTTGCAGTGAAGACATTGGATAGATTCGCACGATGGCCGAGAGGAGCTGCAGGAGGCGTAGCCCCGTTTCCGTTTGCGGGGCCATTCTTTTGGGGCGCATCAGCCTTGTGCTTGCCTTGGCCGGTGATGTGCCAGTTCTCCTGAGCCTTGGAGTTCCCGGCGTTGGATAGGCCTGGGACATTGGGCAATACGGTGACATTGTTGTTTCCATACTTGGGCTCAAAGTGGCTCATGAACTTGGCAAAGATGCCCACACAGGGATCTGCCTTTTGTCCGAACGTTATGCCGGCTCGCCATCCCTTCTTCTTGACGCTCTCGACCCACGACTCGGCTTGGCGTCTGGAAGAGTACCACACCTGGACATCACCGCCGTCATCAGGGACAACGATGTCGAAGCGATGCGTTTGGGCAAAGCCGTCAAACCAGTGTGTGGTAAAGTGCGTGCCGCGGATTGTGTTCTCGACACGGCTTTGGCCGGGGCCGGTGCGGAAGAGAGCGCCAGCAGCCCATGAGGGGATGGAGCCTTTGAGGTTGAGGCGGAGGGGACCGCGATGTTCTTCAAGGTGGTCAAACTAGAGACATCAGTACATGAACGGGAGTGTTATAAGGATTGCGGGAGGCACTTACAGCGGCTTCGTTGGGCCATTTCTTCCACGATTCGTCCAAGATGTTTTGCGTGATCTGCGAACGATCCTCTCCTTCGTGCTCGCGAGTGCGATGAAAGGTACCAGACCCGTTGAGAGCCATGACAGGTATCAAGATCTCTTGAAATGCAGTAACAGGCAACACAAGGGAAGTTTGTGCCCGGGTTGAAAGAGAAGATGCTGTGTAGCAGCGGAAGCCGAGATATCAAAGAACAGAGAAACCAAGGCGTGCCCTTTTGAACATGCCACAAAGAGACTGCGATTCACGGCCGAGGACAATGGCGATGGCCTTATACCATGCCGGGCGTTGCTCCTCCCGGGTTTCTCTCGTGTTGGTGTTTGCTGCAGTGTTGAGAAGTGGCTGCAACTGACAACCACTGCGAAGAGAGAAAAAAGAATCCTTGATCTTAACTCGAATGGCTTTCCCCGTGTAAGAAGAAATGGCACCGTTTCACTGACAGCTTCGAATCGACTTCCCCATTTGTATGTGATGCATGTCAGGGTCGCAGTCAAGAATCCTTTGGTGATATTCCCGGTGTTGAAGGACGTTGTATGGTATAGAAGGTCAAAGTCAATGACGACCCAATTTCGCATTCGCATCCGCGAAAATGCACAAAGGAAAGATTCGATAGCATGATGGATTCATTCATGCAGGAACCCAATAGGAAAAGCCCCCTTTCAAATTGAACAAGCCAAGCAAGCCCAGCCCAGCCTTTGGACAATAACCTCGGGGTGTTGATTGAGGAATAATTGCCCCACCACACCTTTTCGCTCTCTTAATGGTGTAGACAGGCTCAGCCAAGATGCAACTTCGCTTCGCACTCGCATAGCACGTGCATTCTACTCCAGGTTTCTTGAAGTAGGCGAACGCCCTCGAGGACAAGCCGCGGTGATATTCCGCCCAGTTCGCTTCTCGTCGCACGCTGTCAACCTATCAGAGTCGATAGGTGACAGAAATAACCATGCAATTTCCGATGGACCTCGCTTGATGAATCCACTAGATATGGGACTCTCGTCTCTCCTTTGCAAGGTTGAAGGGCACTAGTTAGCAACGGCTGAAAAGCGCCAGGTTGTTGCACACACGAGTTGAACCCCCCCTCCTGGTCATGGAGGAACCCACAAGGCTACGAAAAAGAACCTTGTCACACTGCATTGAGGCCCCTATCGGAATGTGTGACTTGGAGCTGACCTCGAGGTGTTCCGCTATTGTGTGACTTTGGCAGGCATAGGCTATCAAGCCAGTGTCGATATTCTCCGGAGTCGGGCATCGTTGGACAGATCTCAATGGTGTGTTGAATGTCTCGCTAACGCGTGCCAGATCTATAGCCAATCTAAAGACATTGGCCATGAGGATTCGGCTATTCAAAGCAGTCATGGACTTTGAGGCTGACCATTTGCAGACCGCGAGTTGGCAATCGCGGAATTCTACCCCAGGGCCAAGCCCGATGAGGTATTCTGGCTGTTCATGGTGTTTGCTCTGTTGCCGCTACTGCATCCTCTGCAGGAGGAGTCTCTTGGCGATACAAACTGGTCTTTAATCGGAGACAAGCCAGAGGATATTTCCCGGGCTTGAGCTGGATATGATGGCAACAAAGTCATGTTGACGTTGTAAAAGGCCATTGACATGTCGTTGGCTGAGAGCCCGATTTGTATGATTGATGTTGGATCTACGGTGGAGCGCTGTAGCGAGTTTTACAGGGGCATCGGCCTGAAAGAATGCTGCTCAGCGCGGTCATGTGACATCCGCAACAACATCACCACAACACCAAGCATCAAGACCGAGATATCCTCACACCAAAGGAACGTACACATCTTGATAAAAATCCATCATGTCTAGCCGTGCATCTGCCCCGACGATCCCGTCGCTGAAGCAATCCTTCCTCGTCAACCAGACAACGCTGCTCGCACAGCCTCTCGCGCCGTCTCGCACATGGCAGGCGGCTAACGACGCGTCGAGTGAAGCTATACCTGAGCGCGTCCTTCAAGAAGCGTTGCTCAATCTCAACCACACTATTCAGCAGCATTGCCGTCGCGTCTATGCTCCGCAGGCTACTCGCAATATTGCTGAGCAGATTGATGATATTTACACAAAAGATGCTGCGCGTAGGGTCGGAGGAGTGGCTGATGTCGAGGGCGGTATTGGCAGAGAACTTGATCTAAGTGAGTTTCACTGCATCTATTGTAGGGTTCAAGTACTAACATGAATGAAGCTGGAGATAAAGCTATTGAATCTCTTCCGCCAACTTGGCCCTCAGATAAGGATGTCAACGACTACCCAACAGAAGCCAAGCGCTACACCGATGCCGTCGCTCAGCTATCCGAACTCAATCAGCAGCGCAAGCAATTGAAAGAGCAAGTAGCGAGACTCAGCCGCCTAAAATCCGTCGTTGAGCCCTTGCAGACGAGCGACAACGGAGCCGGTATCCAGGAGAACCTGCTCACGCGAAACGGCCCCGTCGAAAAGGAGCTCGAGAGGATGCGCTTCTTGTTGGCCAGAGTTGGTGGCCGTGTTCATGCTTTGCCTGATGAAGCTTCTAATGGCTCTGCCAAGGAGATCAACTTGAGTGAAGTTGGGGCTCAAGGCCGGAAGAGGCGTGTTGATCAGTTTCTTGTTGATGACAAGGTGTTTCCCCCTCATAAGTGAGGTCAAGTCACGGACAACTGAGGCGAACTCCCTGGGCTTTAAGCAGACTGCTTCAATTCGCTCATGGGGTTTCGGACCCAGCGTATCGAAACAGCCCTAATAACATGAAGCTTCGACGACTCGCTCGGAGCTCCAGATTGTTTACTGGAGACTTGGCAATCAAGACTCATGGCAGCCTATGGTTGCATCCCTCTCAGTCTACACACAAGTGGCGATTCATTTCATGAGTCGGATGGAATCATCCAATGCATCATTACTTGGATCCAACCAATCCCTAGCATCAACCAGCCGCATTCATCAAAAGCTAATAGGAAGGTCAATGAAGCCCCAGAGAGGGCGAATGGCCAGAATTCTTACTACTCGACGCATTGGTATCGCCAGGAAATCAGGCAGTTATCTTGTCGCTGCCCATGGACACGCCATGTATGAGGGCGATTGAGGTCAAATAGAAGAAACCGAGAATCTCGTCAACGAAGGCGTCCATGTATCTTTGTCTGGGACATTCGAGCTGTGTATTAGGAACTTAGTAGAGTTTTACTGACCAGTTTCCAATATGCCGTATCATGAGGAGTAACATACGAGCTGTGGAGAGCAACAATAAAGACCACAACTTTATCCTTTGAGAGCACGACGGGATGGCGAGATGCTGTATCAAATCAAGTACTTCATAACTATCCAGGAATCTATCATTAACAGGCGTAAAAGCTCCGTCATCATATACCAGACCACCAGTATGTCTCGTCAACCTTGAACGTCCCCTTGAGCGCCTTGTCACCAACGACGCTGCTGTCGCTGATGATAACCTCGTACTCGCCAGCCTCGACGCACCATTGGTCCTTCTCCTCGTCAAAGTAAGCGGCGGCGTACTTCTCCAGCTCAGAGATAGTCACTGCCTGCTCGGCGCCCGCGTCGAGCTCAACCTTGGCGAAGCCCTTGAGCTCCTTGACGGGCCGGTTCACCTTGGCTGCCTCCAGCGGCTTCACGTATAGCTGCGCGACTTCGGCGCCGCGGATGGAGCCTGTGTTGCGGACCTTGAAGCTTGCGGTGAGCTTGCCCTCGGTGGAAGAGACGGAGAGGTCTGAGAAGGCAAAGGTTGTGTAGGAGAGACCGTGGCCGAAGGGGAAGTTGACCTCGCGGTCGGCAAACTCGTAGTATCGGTATCCCAGGTAGATGTCTTCACCATAGAGCGTCCGGTTTGCCTCGGTACGGAAGTTGAGGAAGGCTGGGACGTCATTGAGACGTTTGGGGAAGCTGAGGGACAGCTTGCCCGAGGGATTGGCGTCTCCAAAGAGGATATCTGCTATCGAGTTACCCGTCTCGTTGCCGCCGTACCAGGCCTGGATAACAGCAGGAACATCATCGAGCCAGGGCATCTCCTCAGGAGTTCCAGTCTGCATGACGACAGTGGTGTTGGGGTTCGCAGCCGAGACAGCGGTGATGAGTTCGTCCAGAACGCCAGGGAGCTTCATGCTCGCGCGGTCCGAGCCCTCAGTCTCCCAGTCCGCGTTCAGACCGCCGCAGATGATGACCTGGTCGTGCTCCTTGGCGAGAGCGACGGAACGCTCAATCTCCTTCTGGGCGTCAATCACCTTGCAGGCACCCACGCGAAGGGAGCCGTGCCCCTCGACGCGTCTGTCAAACTTGAGGGTGAAGCTAGGCGCGGAGGCGAACTCGACCTTGACTTGATACTTCTCGCCCTTCTTGAGGTCCATGCGACCGAGCTCCTCGCGGGTGGCGGTACCGAAGAAGGCCTCGCCGGGGTACTGCTTGGTGGCATTGTCGACAACGAGCTCGCCGTTGACATAGAGCTTGGCGGTTCCGGATACGATGACGCCAAACTCATAAGTCGCATCCTCTTGGACTTGGAGCGTGCCCTCGAGGTCGGCGTACCACAGGTCATCGACCTTATCGCTGTAAAAGTCGACTAGGTGCATCTCCGTCTTGGTCAGCCAGAGCTCCTGGACGGGCTCACGACCAGGCATGCTTGGAGGCTGGTTAAACACCTTCCAGCTCATGCCAGAGTTGCCATCGGGACCCTTGGTCTGGTCTCCAAGAAGTGGCAGCAGCTTGTGGGTGTATGCGCCAACGGTGTAGGCTGGCGCACTGCCAAGCTTCTCAGTGATGCCATCATAAGGCGTGACGGCGTAGTAAGCAGCGAGTGAGGCAGAACCACCACCGTGGTAGGTTGAGATCTTGGCGTTGGGACCAATGACGAGTGTCTTCTTGTCCTTTGAGAGGGGAAGAGTATTCTTCTCGTTCTTGAGAAGGACGATGCTCTCGTTTCCGATCTTGCGCAGAAGAGCCGCTGTCTCGGGGGTGTTGAGCGTCTTCTCCGGCCCGTTCTCAGGGATACCAGAAGCAGCGCACTTCTTGACGAACTTGAGCACTGTTCGGGCACGCTCGTCAATTTCGTGTGCCCAGACTTTCTCGGTGGAAGCAGCAAAGCTGAGGACATCACCTCGCCAGCGACTAGGACCAGGCATCTCAAGGTCCAGACCAGCTTTGATGGCATCAGAGACGCTGTAAGTTCCATACCAATCGCTCATGACAAGACCCTCCCAACCCCATTCCCCTCGGAGAAGATCTTTGAGCAGCTTGGGGTTCTCGCTGCACGAGACTCCGTTCACGCCGTTGTATGAAGTCATGAAGGCGCCGGGCTTGGCGTCTCGCACAGTAAGTTGAAAGGGAAGGGCATAGATTTCGCGGAGGGCACGCTCCGTGACGATGGCCTGGACATTCATGCGCTTGTGTTCTTGATCGTTGCAGACAAAGTGCTTGACAGTAGCCTGAACACCTGTGCTCTGGATACCCCTGATGATGGCAGCAGCTCCGAGACCAGCGAGGAAGGGGTCTTCGCCGATAGACTCAAAGCCACGTCCGCCGAGGGGAGAACGTTGCATGTTGATGGTTGGGCCCAGAATGACATGTGCACTCTTTCCGATGGCCTCTTCACCCATCTTCTTTCCTGCCTCCTCGAGCAGCTCCTGGTTAAAAGTAGCACCAAGGCCGGTACCACAGGGGAAGCATGCTGCGGGGATGCCGTTGAAGAACTTGGTGCCTCTCACGCCGTTGGGACCATCTGAGAGACGGATGGAGGGTACTCCATGGTCAGGAAGGGCCTTGGTGTGCCAAAAGTCGACACCTTGGGGGAGAGTTAGTTGGGTTGCTGTCTATGGTGTTGCGTCACAAACCTGCAAGCAGAGCGACCTTGTCTGCGAGCGTGAGCTTCTTGAGGACCGCTTCGACGTCGAAATCGGCCATTTTCACCAGTAAAACGGTCTCGGTCACGAAAGAAAAGGTTCAACGGCGAATATCAGTCAATTCTTGAGGACCTGCAATCTGGTCCACGAAGGAGGCATGCCCTCCTTCAAATCTCTCTGGAGAAGGCACCAGGTTAAATACCAACCCCGCAGCCGCTTGGCTGACGGTTCTGCCGGAACAAGATGCATGCCCGGCCTGTATTAATCGTCGATTCAGGCAAATCATTTGCCAATTGAACCCAAGAATCTCGTCTCATGATGCCAGAAGAGCATCAAGTTGGAGGTGAAGCCCCACGATGCCGCAGCTCTCACGATTTCTAGCGACGATTAACCGGCCACTCGACCAATCAGAAGTTTTCCTTCCTTTACCCCTTGTCAGGCTTGTCGCTTCGTCGGCACGAAATTCCGCCAGGCAAACCAAGAGCAAGGAAACAACAGAAGGAAGCGGGGAAGGAAGATTACGCGGAATGTCGGATAGGAGAATGGCGTTTATGTTCGTCAGTTCGTGCTAAAGTGGAACGAGCTGTAAATCACGGTGAAGGTTGATGTTGAAGTTGAAGGTGAAAGTCAGGTGATAGTCAGGTGATAGATCACGTGCTAACGTCAAGAGGAAAGTGGGAATAATCCGGAGTCGTGGGGTAGAACTTGTCAAGAGCTTGGCATGAGTTTGACAAGGGCAACTCCAGTATCGAAACGTGGGATATCATATCGCGCCTATTTTCTTCGCATCAGCTTGGCTCAGCGACCATCACCCACACTGGTCAGTTGCTCTTCAGGCTTGTGACCAACACGGAGAACACAAAGACTTGGCGAGGGAGCAAACAATCACAGCTGGAACCAACCGTCTCCGCCGCCGTCGACCGTTACGTGAATCCCTCCCACACCAACAGGTTCCGCTCCCAAGGCCATGGTAGCTGGGGCGGGAAGGGCTACCCAAGGAGCCGGATCACCAAGGGCAGTCCCGCTGCGCCGGGAGCCGGCTGAGGCTCGTGTAACCGCAATCGTGAAGCGTGAGGCCATCTCGCCATCGACTTCTTGGAGGAGTTTGTGACCTGGGTCTGGTCTTGGCCGGATAGACCCGGAAATCTAGCCCAGCGGCGCCGTGTCCGAAAGAGACGGACAACAGCCCGGAGGTCGCGGAGCTGGTCCGTAGATTCCGGGCCCACCAGTTCATGCGGCGAAATGCGAAACGAAATGGCAGCAGAAAAAGCAAAGAGAGATGAATCCGTGATTGACGATATGCGTATGCTTGAATCACGATTCTGCATCGATTGTGTTTCCCTCTGCCCGGTCAATGTCGCAGATCAGACGACGTGGCTACGTTTGCCAAGACTCTACATCATCATCAACGTCTACGCGAAGGTGGAAGGGAAGCGAAGCGAAGGAGCAACGAACACCAACACAGCACGGTACACCTTCTTCGACGTTGGAGTGCACCTCAAAGTAGCCACAGGCAAACCGGAAGAGTCCCAGCCGGCGGCAAGTCAAAGCAGCCCCTTGATCCTTGGATCCTTGGTTCAGATACGACGCGAGCTAGACCAAGTCCAGATCCCCCGCGGCACCGACTAGTTTGGAAACTAAGAGCCCATGGTTTCATTTGCCTTAGCTTGATTCAATGTGTACATATGTATGTACATACCCTGGGTCGTCCGCCTTCACAGCTTCCCTTGCTCCTTGATCCCTGGCGTGTCATGGGAATTTGATGGGCCACGTCTGCCAAGACCCCTACACGAAGGGAAGGGTCAAGTTGAATGGCAGCCATGGGTGGTATCAGGCATTACTGATTACCGCCATTTGTCGACGTCCTGCAACGTGCATTCCACGCCTCTGGCTGTGTGCCCGGAAACGCGACGGCGGTGGCCTAGGCGCCACCACAAGCCAGAAGCGCCCTACCGAGCCGTGTCTCTGCGCTTCATCCTTCCTGAACGGAGGAATTACCGAAGCCACTACGGAATTGCACTCAAGTGCTCACCTGTCGACGGAGGAAGAAACGGCCGGATCAGCCCAAAGTATCCAAAGCGGAGGGGCCGCCGAGTGACATGCGCAACACACTCCGGGCAAATGACGGCACCGGGCAGAGCCAGGCGAGGCATTGGACAGCCCTGATTTGATCGCCGACGGGCATTCATTTGGACGCCGTCCCGCCCAGCGCGTGGCTCCGGCGGTCGATCCAAACCTTGCTGGCTTCTCTGCATGGCATGGCATGGCATGGCCATGGATCCAAACGTTTTACAAGAGTGTCACTCGAAGCTAGCAAGGCAGGGTCGGGTCACGGAAGCGGCCACGGAATGAAACCCAACGAGGCTCATTCAGTCAATCCAATCCATCGTTTCTGTATCGGTCTCACTCTCACCTCACCTTCGGACAGACACCAACCCCCGGCAGCTCGGAGTCAGCTCGCAAAACCCCCATGCATTGGCCATCCCATCTCATGCTAGAGTCCCACCTGCTGGTCCTCGCGCCCGAGTCCGTCGCGGCGCCAAGAGGTCTCGCTGAAAGCCATGAGGAGCGAAGAGACGTGATAGATCACAAAATCACAGCGTCCCAAGGCTAAATCAGGATGAACCCCGGATCGCGGGCGCCCTGGCCTGGCTCCGGGAAGAGACCCGCGATGATGCTACCCGAGCCGACTTGACTTGAAGTTCTCACTGAGCCGGCATGGCATGGTATCAGTCAGTTGGTCGGGGACTGCTCCGGGCTGGGCTGGCGCAGAGGCGCCCTGAATGAAACCGCTAGCTGTCCAACCCGCCGACCCGGCTCTCACATCTTGTGGCATAGTGAGGTTGCACAAGGCTCTCCAGCTTCCCGGCTATGCGGTTCTTGAGCATGCCCTGCGTTGCCTGTGTTGCTTCGTCCCCGTTGAGGATGGGGTGTGAAGAGGGTTTCAGCCACAGACAGAGTGGATTCTGTATCCAGGCTGGGGCATGAGGAATCCACCTGAGATGATCTCAAGAGGCAGGCGGGCGTCTTGGTGATCGGGTTCTCGGATACTGGAGAGCCTTGCCCAATCTCGAATTGCCAGCATGAGGCTTCTGCCCCGAGTCAAAGTCTAGGAGGCGCCTGGAGGAGAATCATCAATTCATGTCCTCCCTCGCCTCGCAACCGGGGAAGCTTGAGAGGAGAGATCTCCAGCCATGACTGTTAGCCTCGAAGCCTTTGGCGGCTAATCCGTCCAAGGTGACTTGACAAACCCGGGAACCGGGAAAGCCATCTGGACGAGTTTCGGAATTCAAATTCAGGCTCCAAATCAAACGGCGACGGTTCGGAAAACTCACCGTCTTCCGTGCTACGCTCTATCTGCTCCGTGCCCCCTTGACCGCCTGGACCTTCCCCCGAGCCAAAGGGGTCACGTCACCGACCACACCTCGACACTCACCGTCACCGTCACCGTGCCGTGCGTGAGAAGCTTGCTCCAAGCAAGCAATAGACCAAGCCGGGTCTGCCCAGCGCGAACGCAACGCAGCGCAGCACACACACGCGTGTCACGTCCACATGGCTTGCCGCTGGGTGTGGTGGCAGAGAGACAGACATGATGTTGCGGACCTGAAGTCTAACACTACGAGGTGCCATGTTGACCTTAGTGTTGCACTTGTATCCTGTACTTGAGTCCCCTTCTCTCCGTGTCCTCGCAGCAATAAACTCGTGGCTTGCAGCCAAGCGTCGCTTGGCCACGTGCTGGGAGAGAGGATGGCGAGGGTGTGAGCGCAACCCAAGGACATGGACATGGACATGGCGAAGGAAGGGAGAAGCAACAGAAGAAACTCTGTCTTGGGCTTTCCTTCTCGAACAAGCTTGAAGCCACCCGTCACCGTCACTCTCAAGCCTCACCGGGCGCAAAGCACCTCATCTCGCGGGATCAGATGACGACCAATGGAGGATTTTCTATCTCAAGCTTTTACGTAGCGGATATTTGGGGGTTGATGCAAATGGATTTTTCCACGGACTTTTCCATGCATGCATGCAGATGGAGATGGAGATGGAGATGAAGGGGCTGCTGCAGAGTACCCCATGACCCAATTGTCTGTGCCCGAGCTGAACAGGACCTTGTCAACTCTCTTGTCTCTCTCGGTGTCTTCTGTCACTGACCTGACCCTCTTCTGCTCCATGACTGCCTCGTGGCTTTTACGTCGTTGGAGCCCTGACCCGAGTCCCTTATTGGGTCCCTCTCCGAGAAATCGGTCCACACGCCTGCTCACTGCTACTCTACCGCAACTCTTTGCTCCCCTTTGCCAGATTCAGCACCTGCTGCCATGGCTTGCAGGACGCTGGCGTTTCCCCTCTGACCCCTGATGAGTCTTGCGTCAGACGCATTGAGAAGGGAAAGGGTTCATCAAATCGGCCGCTCAACCGGGGGCGGGTTCGGCAGATGAAGACTTCACATGCTTATTGTGAGAGATTGTCAATCCCTCGCTCAATGCATCTTACTCTCATCCTTCTTCACCGTGATTCTGCCTGACGCGTGCGAGACAGAAACGGGTACCCCCCTCAGACAGTGAACTCGTCCCCTGCCTAGCGCCGTGATCGACGGCATCCCTGGAGAGGCAATCCCTGTAAGCCACGCCTTCTCTGAGCCCGGTCAGTGGAGAGGGGGGGGGACACAAGTCGGCCAGGGATGATCCCAACTGTTCAGCACCAGAGGAGATCCCCATCTTGAATCCTACAGTACGGATGACTTGCTTTCCCTTCTCTCTGAGGGGGTGTTTGACGTTAGTTGTTGTTGTGTCGTTGTCATTGCAACTGATGCTACTGCATGTCGGCTCTGGGCCGATGATCGACAAATGGGCCGTCTTTCTCTTTTCTGTCTAGTCTCTGTCTTGTCCTTTTCGATGGGATGGCGTCTGAGATACAAAACATATAGAATCACCCCGGTCTGGGTTTGCTGTGTCGGGGAATCACCGACTTCACGCCCCCCTGATTCGGCGAATCTTGGGCCCGTTGCCGTTTGCCGTCTATCCCCGTCTCGTCCGTCTTTGCCCGACATTTTTTTCTACATTGGTAATTGCAGAGGGAGACAGACAGAGATACAAAATATAGAGGCAGAAGAAGCGTCTGTGTGTCTGCATCCTCACGATGGCCTAAAAGGGCAAGACGGCGGAAAACCACGCTGATGAGCACACCATCACCATTTTCTCTGTTGCTGTTCTTCTCGATCATCATCTTGTCTGCCTTCTTCTCCTTCTTCTTCTTCCTGACGTAGCTTGAGCCAATGTCTCACTCAGCCCGTTCCCCGCCCTCCTTGCTCAATGACGCTTTCTCCCTCGTTTCTCCTCTCCATGGAAGCATCAGCAATCCTTCTAGCGTCAAACTCTACGACCCTTCCTCATCAACTCTTTTGGAGTCTCTTTTTTTCTTTTGCTTCTTGTTCCCACACACATGGTCCAACCAGGATGAATCTATTGCGATGAAAAAGTCACACACGCCCCTCCCCCCCCCCCCCCCCCCCCTTTTTTTACCGTTCTTCAGTCCACACAACACGTGCCGATGCCATCCTCGCGCGTCGTTAACTTGCAGATTCGCCTTGCATTGGCTTCGATCCTCAAACTGGACAAAAAAGCAAAAAAATCTCACACGCCCCCCAATACCCTTTTTTTTTCCAGGCTCCTTCTAGGTTTTCTAGCCCTTGCTGTGTACGTACCCGGAATCTTTCACCGCGATTATGCAGGTTGACATCTCTTCTGTCTCTCTCTCTCGAAACAAAAAAGAACGCAAACTCACAAAATGCTCGTGTGCTTCCCTGTAAGCCACATACGCACATGGCACCGAGCGTTGCTGCAAGAGAATGCTCAGTTGACGGTCTGATTTTTTTATTCTCCCTCGTTACTGTCCTGCCCGATTCCTCTCGGTGATCCCCTATCTTGTGCTTGACAGAGAATGTGTCTGGTGGAAAATGGCTCTTGCATATTGAATGTCTGCATACACGAAGAAACGGTGTGTGTTGTTGAAATGTTAGACCGACTATTACCGCCGAATGAGTGAGTGAGTGACAAACAGGTCAACGACAACAGGGCCGTTGCCGCCGGCGTTACTTTGCGTTTTTTTTTCTCACTCTGGGTGTCGAGATAATCTAGAGAGACAATAACGCCATGGCGCTTCCCGCGTTGGCTCTTGTGTCTACGGCGCTCTGCTGTATACGCGGAGTACTCTATCAAAGTACAGTCAAAACGGCAGATGCCGTTTATTAGATGGCAATGGCTTGGACAAGCTCAGCTTTGTTCTACCGTATACGGTAAACGCCCAGAAGGAGTCAATCAGCCAACAACGTTGGAAACCCTTGACGCCGTACACTACCCCATCGGGGCATTAATTCCTCTAGGTTGCCCGAACCCCCAGCTTTTCTCCAAGTTCCGTTTTTTTATTACTTTTGGGAGGTGCAACAACTGTCGCGCCGACAGTTGGGCGTCTTGCTTTTTGCGTCCATCCCGAGAAGGTGTTGTCTCAACGCCCTGAACATTTTGTCTCTCTGCATCGTGTCTCTCGATTCTCCCTCGTTTCAATTGGGGTACCCGAAGAAAAGGCGGGATCGTATCAACACCCTCAGATGTGTCACCGTCTCTTTGTAAAAAGGGTGGCACAAATGTCATGATCTTCAGATCCGGCATGGCCACGTGCTGATATTCGCCACGCGCGCGTGCGCACACGCTTCCTGTCATCGATCTCTCTTTTTTTTGCCATGTGAGAGGCGAACATCAGAGACAAAAAACGTTTATCGAACACGTAAAAAAAAAAAAAAGGGGGGGGGGGGGCGAAAGGAATGGAAGCTTCGAAGGAAGGTGTTCGTGGGTAACATTGCAGCGTCGTAGATGGGGGTTCCCAAAACTTCTTGACTCTTACGTGTGTTGTTCCCTTGGTACGTAGTACAGCTTCACATTACCCTCTTGTTATCTAATACTTTTGACTGTAGAAACTAGCCCCCAATGATTTCTCCCTTGATTCAAAGGGCAATAACAATAGTTATCCCCACTCTTGATGTCCATCCCCTCCCTCTTGATCATCCCCCCGGTCCTCCAAGCTCGTGCAATCCACGAGCCCTAGCGTCTTTTTGCTTTCGCTCTACCTTTCCTTATCCTGTCTAGTTTAACAATTTTGCTACTGTAAACATCCCGGTCTGCCGGAGTGGAGACAATTACAAGTTGCTGCTACTGTACAGCAAAGAAGCAGAAACAAGTTCAGACGGCGGGGGATCCCCCTCTTCAGTAGAATCCCTGTCCTTTCGGCCAACGGTAGACGATCGAGATGAAAGAGACCGGGGTTGAAAATGCAGTTGGGTCTAGAGAGTCTCGTTCTCTCTGGTCTTGATATTACACCTTGCCTACAATGTTCACCAATTGGCTCGAGTTCCGCCTGTTGGAATGTCATCACCGAGATTCACGTCAAGGGGGGAGGAGGATGGATGGACCCGGGTCAAGATTCCGGTATTGATTGAGTACCCATGATATTTTTATTTTTTTACTCATTTGTCGGTCTACCCTTGTTTTTTTGGTGTTTCCCCCAGTAAGAACCAACAAAGTTCGTAATCAACAAAATAATGGATTCGTAAGAGTAACAAAGTATCCAATTCTCTAAGAAAACCCCGTATCGCCAATTTCCCCCAAAGGGTCCCATAGTTCCGTTCCCGTAGTGTTGTTTCCCAATGCACGCCCCGTCCCGGTAGATCAAAGACGCGCCAAAACTAGAAAACTCCATAGCATAAAAGTGGCATGAGATGTAAGATGCAATACATGTTTCCGGCCGTTAAAAGTGTGTGTGTGTGTTCCCGTGTGTTCTCGGTGAGAGAGTGTGTGATGATGTGTGTTGATGTTGGTAGTGGTAGTAAGTAGTGGGTCTTCCTCCTCTATCTAGTTTCGTGATATGATATGATATAGTATTGGATGCTTTTCAGTAGAGGCCTCTTGTTGCTCAGGCCTCTTGACAGAAAGGAAATTGTTATGTGGATGCTTCATCAACTAAACAAGAAGAGGCTTGCCGCGGTGGAGAGTCCAGCCTCCTTTGATCGACAATGTGGTGCCGTGTTCTCCCACAGAGTCTGCCGAGGCATGTGATCCGTCATTATCAAGAGAGATAGAATGTCAAGATTCAAAAAAAGAAACATGTCGTGAGAAGAGAAAGATCGGATCACGAGTCAAAAGAGTCATTGACTCTCCACCTCGACAAGCTCGACAAGCTCAGGGTACCGCTGGGCAAACGCCTCGCTCAGCCGCCAGTTGGCCCCGTTCATGGCGTGCGCCATGAGGGCATCCGTGAGCCCAACATGGCCCGTCTGGGGATCCGTCACTAGCCCGTCGAGCGGCTGGTAGGGCCAGTTGATGAGGCGCAATGAGTCAAAGTAGACCCGCTGAAACTCTTCCGTGGCGTACACCTCTTGCTGGTCTATCATGGCCTCGCGCAGTCCGCCCCAGAGGACGAGGTCGACCCATTGAGGGTGCCGGATCGAGAGCTGCTTCTCTTGCGGTACGTAGTCGTCGCCCACGCGTGCTCGCCTCTCGGCCGTGGGGTGAGCCAGCCAGCAGACCAATGTCTGCAGAGGCGCAAAAATCGCAATCCTCTCGGTGAGCCTCGTCATGCCCGCAATGTCCACCAGGCTGCGGATCAGGTCAGTGATGGGGTGAGGCGAGCACGGAAGCTGTCCCTGAGCGTCGTGGCTCCGGAACAGAGACCGCACGTCCACGGCGGCCGGCCCCAGCGTCTGGTAGATGGACTCGGCGGTTGTCATGCGGCGGCAGTCCTGAAGGAAGCCCACCAGGAGCTCGTCGAAGCGGCAGGCCGGCGCTGTCGTCAGGACCGGCACCGGCCAGCTGCCGGGGGAGCTCGGCGTGTGGTGGCCCTTCAGTGAACCGAGGACTGCGCCTGGGGGTAGTAGACCGGATACATGTTCCACGCGGCCTGCTGATGCTGGTGGTGGTGGTGGTGTTGCTGCTGCATGTAGGTATGGGGGGTGGCGGGCGGAAGCGAGGGATTGCTGAGGCGGAACCCGGCGTCTAGACACTGAGCGTGATTAGCCTCCTCTCCTAGGCGCACATCAGGTAGTCCTTGGGGGATCGTACCGTGATGGTCCACTTCTTCGTACTCCATCTTGATCACGTCCTTGTGGCCTACTGCGTTGATGCTGGATGTGCTTGTGTTGTTGGACGGCAGCATCGAAGCCGGCACGCTCGTGGGGATGTAGCCTGCGCTGTAGTCGTCGGCTGATGATGAGGGGCTGGAGACGTTGGAGGGGACGGGGCAGGGAACTGTGTTGGCCCATGACTCGCAGTTATTGGGGAGGGGGACATATTGCTGTCCATAGTCGGGGAGGGAGTTGTAGTCGCCAGAGGGGAAGGGTGAACCGCGAGGGCTGGGGATGGCGCCGCTGCCGGAGCTGAGGTTGTCATCGTAGACTGCTGCTGTCAGCGCATGCCCATACACCCGCGACCTCTCTCTCATACCTGGTGCGGAGTAGGGAGACGAGGTCATGGACACGCCCATGGTCTCCTTGAGTCGCATAAGCTCCTCCTCGAGCGCCTTATTCCGGCGCAGAAGCTCTTGAACAGTCTGGTCGCGGCTCTGCTTGCTCTTGAGATCCTCCAGCTCGCGCTCCAGACGCTCAATATGCTCCTTGGTCCTGGCGCGGATAGCTCGTTGAGCCTCGCGGTCGTTGGCTCGCTTGCGGGCGAGTTGTGAGGGTGTGAGGGTAGAGACGCTTCGGGTGCCTGCAATTGGGGTTCGTGTTAGTGCTGATCAATGGTGATTGTCCCTCGTTGCTTTTGCTTGACACCAAAAGCAACGAGCAGAGGTCAATCGACATACCCTTCCGCTTGGTGGTCTTGGCGGGCTCTGCTGAAGATGAGCGAACCATGTTGTCGGTGTTGCTGGTGTTGTGGTAGTGTGTTGGTGAAGAGTCGCCGACGGGGGAGGAGAGGTCTGAGGTTGTTCGACGAAAGGACATGGGGATCTGCCGGGTCATATCAAGTCCCGGGGACAGACGACTAGATATAAGCCAAGGCTTGTTGGTGTTGGTGTTGGTGATGGTGATGGTAGGTGTGCAAGGTGTGTTGTGTACAAGAGATGTCAAGTCTCCAAGAGATCTCCTGGCGAAAAAGCAAAGAGAAGAACAAAGGTCCCAGGTTGGAGTATTTAGATGATGCAGGCAGGGTATTCGTAGCTGTGGAGCAAGAGCCTTGGAGCAAGTGTTCGCATGGAGATCGGCCCAGCTAGTTGATCGACCTGGGCTCCTCGACGGGCCAGGGGTGTTAGTTATAGCATTTTGGCCTCGTCTCCCTCCTCCGCGCCTCTGGTGTGTAGTCTCTGGTCGTTGGAGTACCTACGGCACTCTCGTGGTGGTGGACCATCCTCGGAGACCCTTGGATCCATGGGTATACCCCAGTAGTGTGCCATGGCCATGCGCCATCGCCCATCGGGGGCAAGGCTAGGTCCAGCGTGGGTCCCCTCAGTCTGGTTGAGCGAGCGCGGTCCGGTGCGCCACGGCAGTGTACCAGATACGTCGAGCTTGTACTGTCTCCCCATGTGTCTGGTGTCTGTGGTGTGTCCCTTGAAGCCAGACCAGAAACCTGGACCAACCTTCTTGCAACCTTCGGGGGTGGCTTGTATCTCTGTGGATGCGTCGTCCTGTCTCCCGGATCAAGCCCGGACGGGGAGGCGACAGAGCAGTAGACTTCAGCTCTTGTCGTCTTTGCTTGAGTGTCTCTGAAGCCATTGATTGTTTTCTGTACTCAACAGCCCTGTCCTTGCCCTTGCCTTGCCTGTCCTGCCCTCTTTTAGACCTGCTCTGTTATGCCCAGGTGAATTGGCTGCGCCTGGTCTGGCCTGGCCTGGCCGCGTCTTGATACAATGCTTGTCCTCTGGCTGGGGATGTATCCGGACCATGGGCATGGCGGGACTTGGGTCATCCTCCATGGATCATGGCTCCAGAGGTTGAGCAGAGTCGAGTCCCCACTGAAGCTCACGGACCCTTCCCTTCCTCTCGCATCTCCAGAAGAGAGGCTCCGCTCGACGGACCACGGATACTGGAGGCTTCGTGGGCGAAGTGGGTATCGCATCCTCGTCCTGGGCTCTCGCTCCCCTCGCTCGCTGTACCGTAGGTGTAGACAAGGCACGTTGGTTGCAGGCCATGGCCTCTCCTGTCACCGTATGCAGTACGGCCAGGTACAAGGCCTCCGCGCATGTCCGTCCTTTACCGCAGTCAGAGAGAGAGTTCAGTTCGCCGCTTCTCGATTGCTTCTCTGTAGAAGCCGACAATTAACCCAATACTGTAAGCTACATGTCACTTGGGCGGTGGAGACAAAAGAAACAGCAACCAGAAAGAAGGGCAGAAAAGGGCGTGCAATGTCTCAGATTTCTGATGGCCTTCCCGGGGGGCGTGCGGAGGGCTGCCCTGGAGGTAGACCGGGGCTGGCAGGCCGTAGCCCTAGAAGCCCATCAGGATCCATGGTCGACGGGTTACAGCGCCTAGCGGAGAACTCCAGGGCAATGCCATGACACCGTCGCGGCCCCCCTCTTGGAGGTGTGAGAGAGCGCTGCGAGAATAAACTTTGGCCTTGGGCCGCTTGCAGGAGACCTAGCCGATATCCGGCGTAGTCGAGGAGGGCGTGGGTCGGTCGTCAGAAAAGAAGGAGGGCCGTGTCTCTACCAAAGAGTGGCTTTCGAGTAGCGCGCTGTGCGGTCGACGGCCTATCCTTGTAGGAGGGGAGGAGAAAAGAGTGGAGTTTTGGGATGAGAATTAGCTGGTGGAGCACGTTGGACCAGGGGGAATAGCAGGTCGACCATTCCCTCGAGGGCATAGCGGGGAGCATGGAAGAGGGCCTTGCGAGCAGTAGCATTGATGAGCAAGAGAGAGAGAGCCCTAGGGGAGTTGAGTTGCAGTAGGAAACACCAGGCGGTACTGTACTCGTTAGCGTGTAGGGCGTAAAGCCATGCGCGCGTAGGCGTGAGGCGTGAGGCGCTTTGCAAGTCAGAGATACATGCAACACATCGGCCATCTCACCAGCAGAAACGTGGGAGCGTTGCGGTCTGTCTGGTCTGGTCAAAGATGCAAGTAACTACCTACGGATAACAATCTTCCATGGTTTTACCTTACTCTCCAGCATGAACACGGTCCCCCGGCAAAGGCAGCCAGTCCCAGGACGTCGATCTTTCTCCTCCCCTCCCCCATGTCATCATCACTGCACATCTGGCGGTCTAACTGTTGCCTTTGCACATGGCATTGGGATCCAAGGAGGGGATGGGGAAAATCTCCCATGGCATCCCCTCTTCGGATTCCCCGCGAAAGAGAAAGAGGGACAGGCGCGCCAGAGATATCCCAGCCGCATCTCCTTGCAGATCAGGCATCATCATACGTACAGAGTGACAGCCAGTCATGGCCCATCCATCCATCCATCTTTTTTTGTCTTTCCCCTGCCTCATGCACGCGCGAGCGCTCTGCCGCGCCCATTTCCTGAAGCAGGCTTTTTTTCCTCCTCCTCCTCCTCTTGATAACGCATGGCAGTGATCCGAAGGGATTGCCTCCTCCCTTGGTACAGTAGGCCCCCCGCCGTCCATCCATCCATCCATCCATCCCTCCATCCATCCATTCATCCATACAACAGAAGTCCCCGAAACACCTCCATCCTACCATCAGCCATGTGCGCCCCCCTCCTTCAGAACGACGCTGGACGAAGCTCGGAATTATCCAGCTTCCACTGCACTACGTCTTTGGTCCTCGTGGCGACTGGGTCGGAGATCCGGCGGGTGGCCGGCATCGCACATGGCGAAGACGGCACCGGACTCGAGTTTACTGTTGCAGGCAAAGCCTCAACCATTATCATCCATCATCCATCGTCCATCGTGGGGAGGTAACCGTCTTGTAGCCCCCGTTTTTTTCGATGGAAAGAGAAAATTCAACCCCCCACCGCCTCTCACGCTGATTGGGAAGTTTGTTTCCATGCATGATGGCTGCGCTTGAGTAGAATGTTCTTTTTGTTCGCCAAAGGGGCTTGGGGGCGCCCGCTCAGGCTTGCTTCTGCTTGATTTACTTTTTCCCGTCAAGTTGTCGGGACGGCAAACTGTCCATTCATGGCGCGTCATGTTTGGGTGCGGCGTCATCCATCACGGGACGGAGCAAGCACCCTTTTTGATGGAAATGAATAGTAATCCGACGCCCTCTCCGAAACGCACGGGAGAAGGTGGAGGATGGATGCTTTACCAGATTTCGGTAATTTCGGTCGCCTCGAGCAGCCATTTTCTGCGAGGTTCAGCTGAGGTAGGTCAGGACGGCTCTCCGTACCTTTTTAAGTCTATCTCTGCCGTGTCCAATGCCGCTTCCATGGATAAATCCGTACATCATGACGTTCGCTTGTAGGGTCCCTTGTTCCCATGGCTGGCTTCTATCGCCCCCTCGTCTGCCCTCCATGTCTTTGTAAAGAGGTGAATGTCCTCTTGAATAGTCAACCAAGAGACAGGGGCTATTAGATGCCCAACCAGACAGAGCTGAAACCTCCGTGATGAGATGCGCCACCAACACACACACACACGCACACAAGACACACAATCCTCAAACATAGAGGCGACCCGGCAACGTGGTAACCTGCCCAGATGGCTGCCGTTGACGAAATCGGCTTTCTGCGAACAAGGGTGGGTGGGTGGTGCGCGCGGTGCCCTGCCCGAGAAAAGAAAAAAAAGTCCACATTTCTCGCACGCGCGCGGCGGATCCGTGGAGTCAGAAAGAAAAAAGCAAACAATTCTTTCTCTCGCTGAACTTGTATCTTACCCCAGGAAATAAGACTCCAACAGGAAAAAGAATCCTTGGGACCACTCGGAGGGCTTGATGGGCTTGCGTGCTTGGGAAGCGTGGTCCATTGATCGCCCGCCACAATTCCATGGGCCCCTTGCCTCTCTGCCTGCCTGGCTTGATTAAACCCATGTGCTACCAAGTTTCTGATTTGTTTTGTTTTAGACGGGGCCCTTGCTCTCAGGGTCTATTGCCCATTTTGGGAACCTTTGCCCTTGCTTGTTTTTAAAATCACAGTCTGTAGACAGTCATGATATGGCCCTGCTTCGTGCGCAATAACCAACCCCATGACCAATGCCTCATGCAGCGTGATGGCTCAGCTTCAGGGTTGATTGGACGTTTTTGACTGTCCCTTTCACATCTCACTCGGAATCTAGCCAGTCTAATCCAGTCCAGTCTGTCTCCCCCCCAGTCAGTGATCATCAAGGGTCCAGCCTCAAGTCTCGACCTAAAAGAAACCCCCGTTCTGCTTCAACGCCAGCAAGTCTCTAGGCCAAGACGGCCGCCCGCGGATGCGTCCGCCCGGTTCTGGTCTATTGAATTGATCCTCATGGCATCGTCGGTCGTGTCCATCGTGGTCTTGGCAAATGCCCTTTTGCTCGCTCGCTCGTCAAATCTCCCATGGGTTCCCGTCCATGCCCCATCCGTGTCCGGCCCGGATTGTCTTGGCCTTGGCTCACGGTCACTGTGGAATGCGTTGGGCCACGCGGGCTCCGTCCCGGTGGGTTTGGAGATTTGATCTCTCTCTCAAATGGCCCCGTAGTATTTCTTCATCTGGACATGCCCAATCCATTCAGATCCTGGAGATGCCTCCTTCTGTCTCTTCTCTGACGGGGCTTGGTCCCGCTCCGCGAGGTTAGACGCCTTCGCGGAGCATAGCATTTCCGGGCCAGCGGCATTCATCTCTGTTGGCTTGCTTCACAATGCGCCTCTCACGTCCATCTGGCCTAAGATCTGCCCTTTGCTGCCATCACCAGTCCCACTGCCGTGTCTCAAGTTGTCTACCTCGCTCCCCGATTACCGCGAGCGCGGGACCAGCTCAAATCCGAAGCCACAATTATCCGCCCAGGCTTTTGATTACCAACTCTTGTCCGACTGCCCGTCTGCCCTATCTCAACCTTCAACACCCTAGGGCTCAAGGGCAAGAATGCTTGCGCAAAACTAGATAGCTTGGCGATGGGGCAGAGCCGTCGTCTGCTCCGCTCACGTATCCTGCGGCGCTTGCAGGGGCTTACACGCATCCACTGGGCAACCCGGTCCACGGTTCCTGGAGCCAGGATCGGATTTCGTCCTCTAGTCCATCATGGATGGGGTCTTGGCTGCGAGCGAGCGAGTCCCCAACCGATAGAGTACCCCGTATCCCGACAAGTCTTGTCAGGGGTGGAGCTCAGCTCCGCGTCTACGAGATTGCGTCCTCGTGGTCTATCTGGTGGCGCTGCCCTGCCTTGTAGTTCCGTAAGGTTGTTTGCATGGATGGCCCTAAAGACAATTGTCTTGTCATGATATCTCGGGATTCTCGTCCTTTACCGCCTCCACCAGCTCCTCCATCCCGCCAACCGTCGTTGGCCCACTCATGCCCTCTGGCGGGAGCGCCCACCGAGGCAGCGGGCTGACATACGACCAGCTTCCGCCCGCATCTTCATATCGAAGACTGTGGAGCCACAACGATAATTCATGGCTGCCAGGGTCTGAGTACAGAGGCGTTTGGCATACGTCGCAGAGCTCGCCCGTCATCTTCTCAGCCCGCCGCTGCTCATACTTGTCCACCATGGTATCGTAGTAGGCTACTGCATCTGCAACCTCGTCCTTGCCCATACGAGACAAGCGACTCACGACGTCTTCGTCAGTGTTGAGTGTTCCATCCGCATCGTTCTGCCCTAGATCGAAGCCCCAGACTCGCCTATTGGCGTAGATGGGATCGTTCTGGATAGGGTGTCCCAAGTGTTGAAGGTGTACACGAAGCTGGTGAGTCCGACCCGTAACTGGAAGACATCGGACGATAGAATAACCCCTCTTGTTGATCCAAGGGTGATGCTTCTCGTCCAGTTCCTCCTCTGGTGTCTTGGGTCGCCCATCTCCCTCTGTCTCTTCTCCGTCCGGAGGGGGGTAATAGGCTAGGCGTTTAAACACTGTTCGGGCAGTCTTTCCATTTGCGCGAACCCGGTTAAGACCCAACTTTGGTGAGATCTGCAGAATGGGCTGGTCACAGACAACTTCGCCGTCTGGGAACTTGCCCATAACACGTGCAATGTACTCCTTTCTCACTGTTCGCTGCTTGATCTTGATGCCGAGCGCCTCAGCGGCGGGAGGATTCTTTGCGATAAACATGATGCCACTTGTGAGACGGTCCAGGCGGTTGCAGAGATAGGGCAGAAACCCCTGTCCGCGTTCAGACTTCATAATCTCAATGACCGAGTTGTAGTTGTAACGGCCAGCTGGGTGAACAGGCACGCCGGCCGGCTTGTTGATGACAATCATGTCCTCATCCTCGTGGATAACCTGGAGAGGATCCTCTGTAACGGGTGGCTCATGACGGTGGAGTGTATGAGAGATGAGATCTCCGTTTCGGAGAACATAGTCAGGGCCAACACGGCGACCGTTGACAAAGATGGTGCCGCGAACCATGGAATCGTAGTAGTACTGAATGGGTCGGTCCCGGAACTCGGCCTCGTAGATCTCAAGGAGGGGCCGGTTACGCCATCGCTCCTTACAATGGGTGTTGTAGGTGAAGTGGTATGGGGCAACGCGGCGCAGACCATCACCTTCGAAATGGTATGGTCGGGGCCACGGGTCTCCGACGGGAGTGATGAGGGGCCGGTCGGGGTCTGAGACGGTAGGCGGGACCTTTTGCGGCTTCTTTTGCTTGGGCCGTCTGGTGTTCTGAGCGTTGCCGTTGGTGGTTCCGTTGGTGGTTGTCTGGGACTGGGACTTTTCGGAGTCTGGGTGGTTCGGAGCCGGGGTCGGTCTGAGACTCTGGTTCAGACCCTGCTCGCCCTGGGCATCAAAGCCCTGCACGACGGCTGCGACATCCAGCTCGTCCAAGGGCGACGAGGGCTTGGGGGAGGACGAGACCATTGCGATGGGGCGCGCGCCGCGTCGAGCAAGAAACGAGTCTCTGGGAAGATGCCTTGATCTGTGTAGAGTGGACGACAACGGGCCGAGGCGGACAACAGCAGCCCTCATTCCACAGCGGGGGACGAAACGAGGGACGCCGGCGCTCTGCGGCAGGCAACGACGGGAGATATGCGGGCGAAAGGCGCAAAGGGAGTGCTGCGCCAAAGTCAAAATGTAAGAAACAATAAAGACAGATCTGCCCTGAATGTGAAATTCGTGGGCCCGACAACTCTGCCCTGCGGATATCGGTCTCGTCCTGTCCTGGGGCGCAAATTGTTGGTGATAATCAGATATCGCAGTTTGTGGGTTAGGTTACGGCAGAAAAGTAGGCGGTGGGATGTGGCAGAACCAGTGCCTGAACCCTTTTCGGGAATAAACACCCGGTAGATACGGGCGGTCACGGGTACGTATTTTGGATCTGCCAGAGAAAAGATTGGATGACAGTTTTTTTCTGCCAGAGGAGTCATGCCGCTCTCTGAAACAAGCCAGACGCTGAGGCCTATCGCCGTCGCTGGCCCGGCAGATGTGTTTTAGGCCTTGCCCCCGCTGGAAGATCCCCCGCCGAGCCCACTGATGGCGTGCTGTAGCGCTGGCCATGCAGCGCCCTACCGCTGGATCGGGCGCTCCCAGCAGCCCGCCTCCCCAGGCGAAGGCTCCCTCCCGCCATGCCCGGCCTAGCCCCCCGAGGCTCTGTAGGGGGAAGGTCAGTGGGTGGAGGAGGAAATGCCTGCCGCTAACCCGCTGTAAATCCGCATCTCATCCAAGCTTTCAAGAAGCTTCAATCCATGAGCCTCGGCTTTCCCCTTTCGGGGCACATGTCCAGAACCTCGGAATTCCCGCTCATGGCCAACCTCATCCTTTCCAAGTTTCTGTTTCGCTACTATACGCGCATCGTCTCTGTTGTCTTTAGGTACTCTTGTCTTTAGCAGGCATCTCTGCTCGGTTACCCCTTCACTCCTTTCAAATTGATCATCTATCACAATTCTCAATCTCAAATGATAAACATCTAGATCCCTCGCGTCGTCCTTGGGATCTCTGTCTCTTGGTGTTTGTTTTACTTTGTATCGTCGATTAACTTCACGCCTCTCTGGCTAAGAGCCAAGACGGCACCACCGGACGTTTGGTCAACATTATCATCGGACATTGTCAGATCCGACGGGCCTAGAACGGGACTTGCCAGCTTTTCAAGGTCATCGGTCACAGCCTCTGCAGGAATGGCTCCAACAGCAGCATCGCCGGCGCAGCTCAAGGCCCGCAGGAGAGAGGACTACCGCTTCATGCTCGAGTACCGCACGCGATGGTGAGTTTACGCCTCCTGCTCTAGAGCATCTTTGCACTTTTCCTTGCATGCATGGAACAATCATGATCTTGACCTAGTGGTTGGCATCTCCGGAATGTTGCCAGAGTAGCATCGTGAAAAAGCCCCAGAGGAATGAAGGGTCTGGGAGACGAGTTTCAATAGACTGACTCCCTTTACCAATAGGAACGACAATGATATGTATGACCACATGAACAATTCCGTCTACAACTTTCTGTAAGTGACGATCCCTGGCCTGGTCTCGTGGTCCTTCCAGGGAAAGGCAGGCGAGAGAAAAGCTGCTAAAGAAACCAGGTTTGACTCGGTTCTCAACGCCTATCTCATCGAGAACTGCAAGCTTCATCCCCCAACGGCAAAGGAGTTTGGCCTGTGCGTGCACACCCACACGGACTACTTTGCATCCATCGCGTACCCTGCCGTTGCGGAGCTGACTCTGCGCGTCAACAAGCTCGGGCGGTCGAGCGTCACGTACGAGATGGCCCTCTTTGAGAAGGGCGTCGACGAGGTCAAGGCGGTCGGAGAGTTTGTGCAGGTCTATGTCGATCGTGAGTCGGGCAGGCCGCTCAAGGCGGGCATGGCAGACACGCTGCGGCGGGAGCTAGAGAAGCTGCTTGTTGTGGATGAGGAAGCTAATGTGGCCAAGTCGAAGCTGTGAGTGAGATGTCCTTTACTAGAGGAACGATGAACCAGGATGACGGGTCTTGAGTTGAGGCCTACCAACAAGCATACACCATCCAGCCATTTTGCGTATTCAAAAGACTCTCACTGGAGCTCATACTTTTTGGTTTCACCCCCATTGGAACCGCTCTCAAACATTTGCTCCAAAAACTCCAAATCTCCCAATGCCTTCTCCACACTTTGCCTCTCATCTGGCTTCCCTGCCACCAACGCCTTTCCCCACGCCTCAACCTCTTCGCTTACACCACTGGTCCTCTCAAACTCCTTGACGACCGCCTCACCCTCCAGGGGCGTAACCGTCACCTTGTCCCCAGACACACTCACCGTGCCCTTTTCGTAGGAAAAGTCAAAGTCGAATGCGCTCAACCTCGAACCCGCCGACTGCTGGTAGACACCGCTAACTCCGGACTCGAGCCGTACGACGGCGTTGACCGTGTCGATGGGCGGCAGGTGAGGCTGGGTCAGCGCCGTCTGCGCCCTCACGTCCGCGGCGCGCGTGGTGAGCAGCATCCTCGTGGCCGCCGCAAAGTGCACTCCGCCGTCGAGCAGGAACCCGCCCTGGTACTCTGGCTTTGCCCGCCACGCGGTTGCGTACCACTGCGTGTCGGCCCCCATGTAGCCCAGCACCCTCACGTTGAACTGCTGGACGCTACCCAGCTTGGCCGCCTCGACGGCCGCGTACTCGAACGAGGGCTTGAAGCGAAAGTTTTCGGCAATGGCAAACGTCGCGCCGTTGGCCTCTGCGGTGCGACGGTAGAACTCGAGAAGCTTCTTCCCCGCCTCGACTGTCGGTGCGAGAGGCTTCTCGGCGAGGACGTGCTTGCCGGCTGTGAGTGCCGCCTCGATGTGGGCGGGTTGACTCATGATCGGGAGGGCTAGGATGATGGCGGCGATGTCGTCGCGGGCGAGGAGGTCATCGTAGGACTTGCCCGGCCCGGCGTCGGCCGAGTAGAGGTCCGGTGTTGACTCCCGGGTGTTGAGGGCTGCCGTTTCTTGGGCCGACTTGAGGGAGCGGGAGTAGATGGCCTTGAGGGCAAAGTTGTCGCACTTCATGAGGGCAGGCTAAAGACGTTTAGTATATTCTCCCGTATTCTCTTCACTGAGGTCTCGCACCATGTGTTCCTGCTTGGCAAACAGGCCGCCGCCAATCATGGCTACGCCGATAGGTGCCATATTGCTCAGTTTGTCAGTACAACGAGGTTGTTTACAAGCTTCTCGTAGCTATCACAGCTTTCCCTTTGATGTTTGATACTTCCAACTGTCTATTTCTACCTCGAACCCTAAACAAATCATGATACAGCCTGTTTCTTCAAGGCGGGGTTCATCCAATCCCCTCCATCAAGCCCCGCCATATCCTGCCCGTAGCTGACGGTAACACCGAAATCGCCGAACCGGATCGATTTCTTCTATTCTACGGTTCTTCCATGGTAAAACAAAGGAACGAGATGCCAACGTCGACGTCACCGTCGCCTTCCTCTAACCTCCTCCGGATTACGGACCGTCTTCGGCATCCCGGTCGGGTCGACCGATGCCCCGCCCTCCCTCCGAACCGAAATGCCTCCTCCGGGCACGACACCCACTTTCAAGCTCAGCTGAGCCCCCCCCTCCCCGTAAGTCACCGATACACCGAGAGACCTTTCAACATCCCGCGCGTATGCGTGTGCGTGTGCGTGTGCGTACGCATGGAAGCAAAAAGCAAATAATATCGAAGACAAAAAGAAGCGCACCCGCGTCCGCAGCAAGCAGCGCATCCGATATCCAAAAGCAGGCACTCCTGCCGGGGGTGAAAGTGGGAGAGGGCGTGTGCAGTGAGGCCAACCAAACTGAACTGCCATGGGGAAATCCTTTCAGCTTCGGCAGTCCAGAACCATCTTTTTGTCAGTGATCCTGATCCTGCACATGCAGCATTATCCAAACGACCAACGGCCACCGGGTGACCATCCGGGCTTCCCGTCCTTGACCGATGAGGACCCCCCTGGAAGACAGGCCCTCTTCACCTTGGAACCAACCCCTGGAGGGAAGCCAGAGCACATGGGAGGCGGCTACGCTACTGTAGCTGTAGGCGCGCGATCCCGGCTGTGCGGTGCAGTGCATACACGGAGTTAGTTGAGGCTTGAAGACGCGAGTGACGATGGCTGCATTTTTGTCTCAACTGTCACAGTTGTATTTCATTTCCCTCTTTTTACTCGGCATTGGAATCTGAGCGTCGAAGCACGGTATGCTCCAAGGTGAGTGAAGAAGGAGGGTTAGAGTGTTGGAGGCCTGTTCCTAATCCTTCACCACCAACAACAAGGTCCAAGGATATACATGTCTCTTGTCGGATAGATCCATCTCAATATCATTTATCCCCATTGACTCTTTTTACGTGGTACCATGTAATATCTCCCCACGAAAGAAGACGTGTATCTCATCTCGTTACTCCACCGATTGATTATTATTCGTATAAGCTACCCCCCAGTCCCAATATTTGATCAGAGAAGGGTTACGTACCCAACCTCATGACACCACTTTCACCAGTAAACAATCTCACGATATCGTCATATCGTCCAAGACGTGCCTCTGTGACCCCCGCCCCTAGTCCATCACTTTGCATATCTTCTTCCTTTCTAACTGGATTGGTATTTTTCCATCGCATCGGGCGCCTCTTTTTTGAGTGGCCGCCGGGCCTGCATCATCTCATGCAGCATCTTCAGGCGATGAATGGCAAGACAAATCCCGCTGCAACTGGAAAAGTCCCCACGCAACAAGCGCCACCACCACGCGGCCTTGGACGCGAGGTCCCTGTCTCTTTGATGAATTACTAACCCCAACATCATCAATTGCGTTGTTTGACTGGTTCCCCCTCAGCTCAGCCCTAGTTGCCTCCCCACGTCTTCAGCTCAGAATAAGTGAACCCAGTTCCGTAGTGCGCAGTAGTGATGGGAGACAACATGTGAGCCCATGAATGCCCCTCTTCAGAGACAAGGAAGGGGTGGCGTTGGTACCTAGTCAGCCCCGGGCGCTGTTGTCATCCCTCTTCTTCCAGGGAAACAATGTTTGGTGGGCTGGTTTCCCCGCCGGCGAGAAACAGGCCAATTTCACGATCGGTATGAAGCGTTGCTCGCCGGCCATCGTGAGGTCTCATGATATGAGGTGTGGCCACGGCAGTTTCCGCAGCTTCGATGGTGCGACGGATCCATGGGGACCACAATCTGAGCTACTGGTGCTCCCCAATCGCCATTGAGGCCTGTCACTGTAAACTTCGCGTCCGCGCCGTTTTTGGACAGTCTTGCAATTCGTGGGTCTTGAATCCTATTGAAAGTCGATCTTGGAACGAACATGGCACGCAGGTCGAGAAACGACCAGGACGCCAGAACAGTAATGAAGATAGACTCATTTCTATAAAGCATTGTTCGAATATTGATATGAATTCGTCCAAGAATAGTAAAATAATATCATGAAAGAATTGCTACTTTAGAACCATCATCTTGATTTTTGCTTGCCCGTGGTGTATGTGCTACCCTACACATGGGCTGAGAACGAGGCGGGCTGGCAAGTTTCCTCACATATCGAGATACGAAACAAAATGATCTATAAAATGTAGATGACTTACCGACTCGGACCTGAAAGGAATTGTGGTCTATTCTGGTTTCAAAGTTGCACTCATTCAATACGCCACAATCTGTCAGTGAGACCGTGAGTATGTTGGTGTAATGGCCAAGCTGAGAACGTCCAAGCCACTAAAGGAACAATAGTAATCCTCGAGGATCTGTGGATGCCGTTTTATCACATTTTCACCGAAATCCCTCTCTTTAATGAATGAAACAGTTCCAGGGAGAGCCACTGAGCTCACTGTGAGTTGCATACCTAGTTAGTGGTATTACCCTCATTGAATCCTGGATCGTCGAGCGTGTGGGTAACAACAGGTTCACTGCGTTAGAGTACGCAGACCACATAGGATGAATTCGGCTCATTTTCTTCAAACATAATGTTTGAAGCTTGCTAGATTCTATATTGCCAGGGAAGGGCATTGGTTGTCACGGTGGTGCCAAGCATTTGTTCCTAAGTTGAGTGAAGCAGTGAAGCTCGCGCAGTTCTATTTGCTATTTCTCGCCAATGGTAACCGGGAACTGCCTTGTTACTCTGTAGAGACTAGTTGTAGCAGGCGTGTTGCTCTTCGCTTGTGTTTCCACAAAAGAAAGGCTGGTTGAATGGACATGAATAATTGGAAGACGGCCAACTCCTGAGGGCTTCGCGAATGTTGCGTTACGAATGAGCTCACTCTCGCAACTATTCGAGCCTTGGTGATAATTAGTAGATGTCATAGACATTGGAATAAGCGTTACTTGGATCTTAAGTACATCCCTTCGTTCCTAGGACAATGCCGCTCCTCCTGCGTGTACGGGGCATTTGCTCAGTAACCAAACTCTTATGCATTTACCATGTTCTAGTCGAGTTGGATATCTTATATTGATACGAGTAATTTGCCTGCGCTCTCCTTTAGAAAGTCCTAGGTTCTTGAACCACCAGCAATGGAATTACTTCCTGGCAGTGCAGAGCCTCCGTATAGAGAGATGCATTTACTTCAACGAAGAAGCACCATCTACCACAGGTTAGTACAACTATGGATATTAAAAACATAGTTTTTAACCTTGAGACGACTGACTGACATGCGCAGATGCTTCAGCGAGCGGTCCAACACCAAGTCTTGACCTCGTGAGTAACGAGATAATAGACATCACAACATCGACATTGCTAACTATACACGTCGGCCAAGGAAAAAAAACGAGACGCGAGATACACGAGCTTATTCTTTACTAAACCTAACTATGGAGATGTGATAATAATGATAGAATAGTATATAAAAGAGGCCTCATATCTTGAATATCCTCGGATGTTAATTTAGTATATTTACATAAACTTAGCTACGAGGGCCAGATCACCTTTGCCGTTCTATCGTCTCCTCCATTTCTTGACGTAAATGTCACGTACTGCAACTATGAGAGGCCATTCCAGGTGTTTAGACATGGCATCCATCATTGATGGATCCCGCTTGAAACCCGGGTTCTTAGGACGAAATGGCTGCTGGTAAGTAACGCAGCACATTCTACTTGAGAAGCTTCACGGCAGCGACAGGATGTAATACAACAATAGTAGCTGTTTTATGGATTTGGAGCCAAGAGGTAGAACGGAGTATCCATAAAATTGGCTCCCTAGCATACAAATTGACATTCCGAATACCCTCGTCTCATTGTCTCATGGCCATGACAACCTGCAACAGGACGTCTGCAAGATGAGATGAGCGAGGTAAGTACCCTTCGCTGGGGCCGAATCCGAGACCCAATATATGCCATTTGAATGTTGTGGGTTCAACATCAACATTGTCTTGACATTACCTTTCATTCCTACCTTGGCCGACACGCTCCTTGTCGCCGTGACAAGGCGAATGCCTGGGCCTACAGTAACACCCATCAAGTTAATGCAACTGGGATCTCCAAACTCCTTATATGCCGTGTATATAATCAGCTGTCGGGATCTGGATTAGCTCTGAATGCAAGGTTGAGGTGCGCTCCCTAGACCTCTGGAGTTGTCATCCATGAACGCTTCTGTCAACGGGACCCTTCGGTTTTCCTCACAAATACTGACTTCTATTTAAAATGAAACGGGCCTGAAACAGCCCTATTTCCTGTTTACAGAGCAGTCAGAAGTATGTAGACATTTTGCTGACTTGAGCAGTCTAACCGGTGCTCCTTCGTTGAGACTTTCACTCAGCCAACCCTTTTCCTTCCTACCTCAAACGAAGGTAACAAAGATCTAGACCAATATCACAATACTTGGACACTGAGTATAACTTGCTGGGCAATTTACTATTATCTGAAAATAACATTTAGTGCCTGGACAACCACATCCACCACCCTTCTATACCCAAATCTGTCCTCATGATATAGACTCTGTCTCTGCAATGCCATGCCACTTATGAAACACATTCTGTGGATCATACTTCTTCTTCAACTCCCTCAGCCGCGGCAGATTCGCTCCCCAAGCGTCCTTGGGCGAGACACTATCCGCCTCGATGTTGATGTACACCCCGACAGGTCCCTTGCTCCAGTGACCGCCAGACACTGCCTGGTAACCATTCGTTTCGCGGATGCGTCTGCAGAGATCCCGGTTGAAGCGGCGGACCTCTGCATCGTGGGCTGCATCCTCCCAAGCGAATATTGTCATGGCGTCGTAGTAGTCTCCCCGGTTGGCATATGCCGTGGCATCCTGCGCAACCTCGCGAATCTTATCCGTCGGGAAGAACTCGATGGCAAGGGCGGAATGACCCATGCCTTTGTGAGATTCGCAAAATTTCCAGAATTCCTCCGCGTTCTGTAACATGGACTTGGTGTTTAGCGGCATTGTGACATTCCCTGAACCCATTAGGCGCCGGATGCCGTGTTCCATGATGGGGTTCATGAGAGTGTTCATCTGCGCTGTCGTCATCATTGAGGCATTGTCGATAATCGGTCCAACCTTTAGAAGACCCGAGAAGTATTCTCTCCCATCGGCCTCGGAGCCATGAAACATGGGGATCGCGGAGACAACGCGTGTGCCGTCCGGACCAAAGCCAATTCCTAGAGCAAGGCAATGACCCTCCGAGGTATGTCGCTGGTGAAGATCGTTCGCAGTGGAAAGCAAGGTGGGCAGCTTGTCAGCCGAGTATGCCAACGTGCCGCTCCAGACCTTGCCCTGCTTGTGGGCGCGTGAGACGAATCGGGTCACAACGCCAAACTGAGCCCCTGCCCCTCGGATAGCCCAAAAGAGATCTGGATCTTTGTCCTCTGACGCCTCCACAATGGTACCATCGGCAAGAACAACTTCTGCAGAAATCATGTTGTCGATGGTCAGTCCGTGGACAGGTGTCAGATATCCGTGGCCTCCGCCCAACGTTAGCCCTCCAACTCCTGTGTGGTTGACAACACCTCCGACGGTTGCCAGTCCATGTTGTTCAAGAGCAAAGTCGACATCTTTCCAAAGACAGCCTCCCTCAAACTCGACAGTCATAGTTGCTGTGTCGACCTTGACCTTTCGCATCTTCCTCAGGTCAATGACCATACCTTCAGAAGAAGAGGTCCCACTGGAAGAGTGTCCACCACCACAGACAGTCATGACTATTTTGTTCGAAACTGCAAATTTCACGGCCGTAGAAACCTCTTGTGAATTCGAAGGCAAAACAACAACAGCCTGAAAGATGATTAGCCACGACGTCGGCGTCTAGCGAAGCAATACGTACCGCCCTCTTTACACAGGCCACGCTCCATCTGTCAAGGACCTCCCCATAGCCCTCTTGCCCCGGAAGGAGGACAATCCCATTTGGTATATCCTTGCGAAGTTGAGTAAAGTCACACATTGTGACCCTGTCGAGATAACAGTGCAGTGTAGTACAATCCCAGGACGGCACAACCGTCAATGGACAGGGGGAAAAGGGAAGAAGCAGCCATCTGCATCGGATCGTCGAGGAGGACGCCCGTATTTGACGCTTTCCGGGGTCTCACAGTATGCTGTAGTGGAGCGCCTGCTTACATTACATCGTTGGTCGATCTGAAACATGTCGTCATAGTCGACACCTGAATGGCTGCATTCTTCAGCCCGCTCGGGGTTGAAGCCATTCAGGGTGCCCACGTCAGATGCAGGCGGGAACTGCCGTGTCTTGGATTCGGGTCCATCATTCGTCGTCGGTTGGGAGCTGAATCTCTGGCAGGATCTCTTTCATGACAAATCCGTACTTATCCACAACAGTCTCCCCTCCGCTGAGACCCTTCTCGCCTGCTTGAATCCTGCCTCCTGCAAGCCATCTTTGCAGCTTGAAAGCGGTCCTGGTGATGTCCATGGCGATGTGCCAATTGTCAACCCCGATCGACATGAAAGTGGAAACCAGCAACGTCTTCATGAAGCGACCAGCAGGTGTCTTGTGACAACTGGGAACAAGCGCCAGCATGATCCACACAAAGATGCCGACCACGGTTTGCCAGCAGGGTAGACCAGCCTGCCATACTGAGCCCCAGATTATCATTACATCGCGCTCCGAGCACATTGTGGTGGTTGGGGAGCGGTTGAGAATTGACCGAACCCAGATCAGTGATGTCAATCGGACGACACGATACATCATGTCTGGAAGTTCAACAGGCGGGGAAGACTTGTCGGTCCTGGCGGAACCTGGTGACTTTGCCGGGCTTTCGACAGAGCTTGATCGAGAAGGTGTGCGATATTCTGGCGACCGTCGGGATGGGGCGTCATCTGGAAGGTCAGATATCCTGTCCTGAACCCAACCCGCTGTTGTTACAACGTTGTCAAGCTCCTCCGCGCTGGGGAATTCCGGCAACGATAGAACAACGTCAAATAGATAACGCATGTCGTCAAGAATCTGAGCCGTGCTTGGGTGAAGCTGCAGGGAGTTTGAGCATCCTTGGAATGAGGGCCATCCAAAGATGAGAGGCGTATTCAAGGCCGTCTTGAAGGGAACCATGATAGGATCCTGGAACGTGAAGCCGGGATGACCATAGATACATGGATCGATTTCATGTGCAAGCGCCATGACAACGTCGTGACTGTCACGGGTTAGCCCTGAACAACGAAGGTCCAAGACACTAAGCTGATGCTCATGTCTCTGAATATTAGCGTCAACTTACACGATAATCATCTTGGCCAAGTATCCGTGTAGTCCAAGTTGGCTTAGACCACCTCGCATCCTGACCATCTGTTTCAGACCTCTGATATGGGCCTTGAGATCGGCTGTGGCGCCCCAATACCAAGAATCAGCAATCATCTGCACGACGCCGAGAACTGACGCATCGCTGGTTTGGCTGGCCTCGTCTCGAAGCTGTGAGTTGAGCAAATGATACACCTTGCCCTTGTGCATCATTGCTATTATCTTTGGGATGTGTCCTGTCTCTGAAAGGAAACATGACGATGTGAATAGAACAATCTGGAGAAGCAGGGGGTCTTGCACACAGCAGGGAACCCAGTATTTCATAAAGGCATTGCTTGGATCTGGGTTCCCATCCACGGAGCACTTGAAGCGGCATAGTAGCTGCAGGTCTGAAATCAGAATAAGTGTTAGTCGTGTCACGAAAGCATATCGCCAAGGTCAACTTACGTATGCGTACCAACTCCTTATTCAGATTAGTAGGCTCCATTGGCAATAACCGTAGTTGCTCCATCGAGCCTTCGACTGGTAATCCAACAGGCCGCCGTCCTTCGTGGTGCGTCAAGAATGCCTTGGTGGTCTCGGCACGCTCATCCAAATAGATACGATTAGCCAAGGTTAGACGGTGTTCCACGATGACCTGAAGTGACTTGAGTATGGCTTCGTCTTCATCTTGAACCTCCTTGGAGACAACTTTGAACGGAACCCAGGCGCTGATCTTGGAATGGGGGTTTTGGGCGGAGCTGCCGGATGAAGAACTTGACAAGGCATCCTCTAGATTGATGATGGCTTCCTGGACGTCGGCAGGATTCAAGTGAGCGTATGGTCCTTGTCGCACGGCTAACGCAGGAGGTGGTTTCTGGAGGGAACTAGGGGGAGAAGATCTAGGAGCATGGCGTTAGCCTTTCGATCGTCAATACTAGGGGAGAGCAAGCTTGAGAGTATAGCACCCGGGCTAAAACCCAGAGAAGAGCCAAGTATAACTCACCTTTTTGAGGACTTGACCTTGTATTCGCAAATAGGCTGGGGAAACCGGCGAAGACAGTTTGTGCACGGTTGGCCTTGTGAACACTGAGGCGAGACTAGTTAGTTCCAAGATGCAGGAACAAGCAGAATGGTATCGGTACAACTGCTGGACAAGTGCAGACATCAAGGAATCACGACCTGGGTTGTTGACATGTACAACAACGTCGAGCCAAGGAAACGAGTTACACGATCCGGCACCGACACGATCTGACAGGGGACAGGGCCAAAGCAGAAAAAGTGAGAAATGACGGTTACCTTTTGCTTCCGGCGACGACATTCGGTGCATGATGACGTCTGGCGTTCAGCGCGCCGGCGGCCGGCTTGCCCCTGCATGGCTTCGACCCCCGGCATGATGCCGCTTCGTCGCCGTTGTGCCGGCTGTGACGCGGGACCGGGTCGCGGGCTTGGCAACGGGATATTCAAGGCTGGGGAGTCGGAGAGCTCGGAGTAGATATTAGAAGCAAAGAATTAGAGCGTTGTCTCAGTTTGAGTGAGTACAAAATCGTGTGTTGGTTTCGTCAAAGATGAACGCGACGCGCGACAAGAGTTCAAGAAAAAGTGATGGATAGAGTCGTTGGTTGACGGCGGGCCAAGACTCCGGCAGGAATGGACCAGGTCGAGATCGAGGCGCTGTTCCTGGGTTAGATGCGGATGCCAAGGATGGCGGTGGCTCATGCGAGGCAACGGCGGGAGTGATGCGAGGTGATAAGTCAAAAGCGGCGCGATGGTGAGTCCCAAGATGAAAGATGTGAGCCCGTGGTGAGATTTGATCAAGAAACACGTCAGGTTGCCCCCAGCCGCGGCCAAGTCGGCATGGAAGAGGACCAGAAGCTCAAGGAGAACAAAGTCTGGACGATTATTGTTGGCTAGAGATCAACGCGGCAAAGGCGGCTCACCAGGCCGGAGATGGGATAGCTGGAATCGGAGCAGTTGCCGGTCGCGTGTATGGTGGCGCTGCTTGAAGCTCTTGGGTTTGAGGTTTTGGGGGGTGTCGCTGCAGGGCGTCAAAGATGTTGTTGGTTCGTGTCTCCCCCAAGATTCGCGTTGGCTTGCCTACGGGGTGCGTCTCGGGTATAAGATGCACCTCAAGCTTGAAGTCGTCCACACACTCTCTTTTCACTCTCTGAATCAAGTTCGTGTCCGGAAACCCTTGTTTAAAAAAATCGAATTCCCAGCGTCGCAAATAACAAGGTCTCTAGGATTTTCGGGGCCTCCGGGTACTGCTGGTGATTGGGAATTTTGGGCGCACAAAGGGGAACAAAGAAAGGTGACAAATCCCAAAGCTTGTTGTCCCTCTCTCCCCCCCCACGGTCGATCAACGACGATGCAATGACGTCTGGGTGCCCCTGGCCGTTGTGCCCCTCGGCTTGGCGGTGATATGTTACTGGGGGAGCGAGAACTCGTTTGTGATTCCGATGCGAAGATGGCACGGGCAAAAAGAGAGTTTTGTTGTTGAGTGAGGGAGAAAAGTGACGACGGGATGGATGAAAGGAGAGTCTGGGCGTAGAGACAGGATCGGATGTAACTTCGTACCCAAGCTTCCATCCGTCAGTGAGTGTCAGGGCGGGTTCGGCAATTCAAGACACGACGACGGCGGGGGGGGGGGGGGAAGAAGGTCTTGGCGAACCTCCATCCAAGGAGGGGAAGCCACCGCAAAGTCCAGAATGAATGCTACTGCACCCAAGCACACGGGCAGGCAAAGCTACTGTAGGTCCTTGCCTTGGTGTTTGCTCGCCGCCGAGGTACGGACGGATAGACAGACAGGGTGCCTTGCTTTAGCCAAGGAGCGATGGAAGCGCGCGGTGCGGAGAGCTCCAGTCAGATTGGACTCATGTCCATGTGAAAGCAGAGCTCGACTTGAATGAGTGGAAAGGTTAAAAAAAAGGCAAGGACCACACGTCCTGTCACGTCGTGGATGCCGATGGGGAGATAAGCCGGACGTTTTTCTACGTACCCCAACGAGCGAGTGAGCTGATCAATGAGTCCCTTACCAAGAGAGGTAGGTAGGTAGGTACGGAAGTGAAGGAACCGTAGCCTTGTTGTCTCGAATTGTTTCCTCATTCACAGACTTGAATCTAGATTTCCTCTAGATTGCAGTAGACCCAGATCGTCACTCTATCTAATACATAACACTTTGCCCAAAACTGCGTAGTATCCTGTAAAAGACCCCTTTCATCAAACATCAGAGGCGAAAAGAAAACAAAAAGAGGCTTGGGAGCTGCTGGGAGCTCTGGACCCTGTCCTGTCGGGGTCCACGGAGAGTGCCGCTCCCCTCATCCCTAGCGTGTGGTGATCTGGACTTCTATCCTTGTCCACCAGGAACATGTGTTCCGCAGCAAGCTTGGGTTATCACTTGAACAGATTATGGTGCTTCTTATGATAATTCCCAGTAGAGATAAAACTCGCCATAGGTGGTCAAAATGAAAGACAAGGCTTGAATTATTATTTCAACCCATACTGCATTGCCTGCCTAATGACTGACGCCGAATCTGCATGTAAGAATGACCGTCTTGGCCTTGGCGGGGCAAGGGCACACACGGCAAACACCACTGCCGAACGGCACTCACGGTCATGCCGATCAACGACAACGCCCAGCGTCTCATCCAGCCTCAAGCCACTAAACATCTCTAGCAAAACCACCGCTTCAATCCTGGACGTGCTCATCTCTACCGTCTCGGCTTCAACTGCCGACCAGCAAAAACCCTCAAGCTACTGTAGCCTTCAAGGTCCAATCTTCCATCTCCCGTGCCCTATCAGTAGCCGCCGAATCCTTGGAACAACTCCACTATCCCGCTGCAGGTGTCGTGCAGTCCAGGCAAATTCCGTCTTGTCTTATGACTGAGCCAGCAAGCCCCTGGCTATCTGAATGGAACCCAGCACCCTGGTCCTGGCTCGCAGTAGGCGCTTGCTTGCTGCTCCACGGATCTCATGCTGGCGTACGACTTGCGGGACGCTCGGCTCATGACGAATAGCTACAGTGCGTAGATGCTGATCAAGATCTTAGACTCGCTTACAAGTCATATTATACATAGGAACGCGCATGATGGAGCAAAAAGACTATTCATAGCATTTTCAGATTTACCAAATTCATATCATACTGTTCTAGTCCCGCATACTTTATGGTTCCATGAGAAAGCGCACACAGTTCATGTCATATTCATGTACCTAACCGAGTGGTATACAAAAGAACCCCGAGTGTCATCCTCCATCTCGTTCAATCATGTACTTTCAAATTCGCGGCAAAGAAACCCAGGTGGTATCTAGTTGTGCAGAAACAGAAGAAAAAAACATCATGTCGTGTCCCCGACCTCAACGCCATTCCTGTCGGGGCTCTAAATCACATCTTGACCGTACCCAATGTCGAGGGGTTCAAGAAACCCCATCTCTCCAGTTTTGTTCGTGCAGCAAGACGTATCAAAAACATAGATATCATCATCCATCAACTTCATCTTCCCCTGTAGTCGGGCTTGCGAGCCATGTTCACGGGTGGTGGCTCGTCATCATCGACTGGGTATGGAGGAGGAACTGCTGGAGGCCGTCTGCCACCGTGCTGCTGTTGGCTCTCTGGGAGTGGTGTCTTTGGTGGCAGCGGCGGAGGCTCAATTCTCGTTGGCATCGCATGGTTCGTTGGTGGCGACCGAGGATGCTCGTCAGGGCTCATGATGGCAATCAGGTCCTGTCCCGATGTATCTCGATACTGTGGGGGCGGCGGCGGCAACGAAGCATTAAGACGATCCTCAGGCCGGAGGTTGGGTGCGCTGGCGCTGGCGTTTCCGGGCACACGAGGACCTAGAGGAGGAGAGTTGTGCGAGTTAGATGTCCCCGGGCGAATGCGCTCGTTGGAGGCTCGAGGGGAGCTTGCATGGTTGCTGTGGATTTGTAGGTTATCCGATCCAGATTCGAACGATGACCGACTCGCCGGACTGTGAGGGAGCGGGACCGTTGTAGGAATGTCTCCGGGGAGCTCAAATGCCAGTGGTGTTTCCCACGTGCTTGACGTTGACTTGACCAGCTCTGGAATTCCCTGGGGTGCTCGCTCGTGACGCAGCTTGGCTCTGTGGATCTTGGCGAGCTTTGACGAGACGCCTTGAATCATCTTCTGCTCCGCCTCCCTCGACAGATATCGTCGTGTGCCTGTGCTAATCTCGCCCAGTCGGGTCCACTCGTTCATGCCGAACTCGCCTACTCCGACTTCCACATTGAGGCGGTAGTAGGCGTCGATGCTGACATTACGCTTCCCCAAGTGCTCTCGCATCATGTACTCATGGATCTTTTCGCAGTTCTCGATCTTTGCGATCAACTTTCTTCGTGCATCAGCATAATCGCCCATGAACCCCTCATACCATATCTGAGTGTTTGCGTCACTGCCTCTGGGTCGACGTCCGGTACCGACGCTGACGAAAACGCCCACCTCGCGCCCAGGCCACTCGTTGACCACAGCCTCGTCAAGCGCCTCAGGACTAGGGTTGAAGGTACCCGCACCATCATCATGGAAAACCGACTGGCCAATCGTGATGGGCTTGAACGCGAGACCGATAGAGCAGGTAGCTCGGCCAGCCTGCCAGATCTTGCAATCGTATTCGGGCGCTGGCTCTTTTCGGGAGTCGTAGGATCGTAGCATGGCGGCTGGCGAGCCTCGCGGGGAACCCTTGTATACTGCTGTTATAGCACTGTTGAATATTAGCGATTACTGTTTTGATGTGGTAAACAATTGTGGAAACTCACGTCTTGGTGCGGTTTTCTCTGTGGTCGTATAGTCGTGCGTTGGGATCGCCATATCTCGAGTTGTAGGCTGGTCGATGAGCCATCTGGGCGGCGGGGCTTCGAGCACTGAAGCTGATAGTGCTAGCATTGCTCTGATTTCGCCGAGGAGCGCCGGCGCTAGAATAGCTGGCGGCGTTGAGAGGGTTGACGAGGTCAGCTTCACTACCGTCGTTGCCCTCCCTCTCCTTGACAGTATGTTCCTGGACTGCAGCCTTGATAGCCTCCTCGAGTTTGCTGGCCTTGAAGAGGGTCGATCGATACGGGATTCCAGCAATCGTCTTGTCCGTCTCAAAGACCATACGGGTGAGACGCACGTAGAGCTCCTTGCATGTTTCCAAGTCGAGGCGCAGTCGGCCGAGCATGAGCGCGATGAGACCGCCGGTGCCAGTACCGACGATGAGGTCGAAGTGGTCGCATGGCTTGGGAATTTCGTTTCGTCTGGGAGCGCGACCCTCCATTTCGACAAAGGTTCGGTGCATCAGCTCCTGGACGATGATGAAGATCGAATAACCGCGGACGCCTCCTCCATCTGCGCGGGTTAGCAAAGGGTTCTCCAAGGTTGTAAATGAGGCGCTTACCGAGCGATA